TGTTATTAAAATATACAAAATTTATAATTTAATTATATAATTACACGGCCTTATGGTCTAATAGCTCCACTGTATTTTGCATATTAGCGAACAATTGCTTTCTTAAAGCTCACAGCAGAATCATTTACTTGATGCTGGAGAATAAGTTAATTACGGATCTCCTGCCTTTGATTAATGGATTTAATAATCATGTTACAGTAGAATTAACTTATACTTCATGTGCTTACAGCACTAATGGTGAGATTCATGAAAGCAATGTGTCAGCAAATAGGATTGGCATCAAAAAAGGCAATGTTTGGAGATCCCAGGACTGTCTGTGCCTGTATCTCTGCCAGTCAGCAGTTCAGGAACCCACAAAGGGCATCCAAACATTTTTGCTTTGTCTATCATTAATCTCCACCATTTGCCACTTATTTCTCCAAAGCCAAATACTGTTTTCAGATGAGCTGAGCACCTCAACTGAAGCTCAAGCTCAATTCTGGATACTGGCAGGGCGGGGGGGAATTATCCTGGGACATTGCTACAGTATCAGATAGTGCCAGATATACCCAATAGGCACAGCCACCTGTAGTCTGCTATTACCCGGTATAACATACTAACCATTAGTCATCTTTAATACTTCTTTTGTGCATGTAATAGAAGTATAAAGTTTCTTGGATGGAAACACATTGAGTCAGCCAAGATTTACCTTCTCTAAAGGAGCCTCAAGATTAGGTACTTAATACAACCTAAGAGACAGAGCACTGTAGTTTCTGAACTTGATTTCACCTGTTCAAGGAGAGGAACCATTGCAGGACAGAAAAGGTACAAGAGACACTTAAAATTTTTTTGTGTTTTGCCATTATTCCTCACAGGGCTCCTGTGCGTGTCTGTGTAAGAACCAAATCTGTGAGCCTGGCAGGAGCTGGATTCAGAAACCTGTACTGAAGTAAAAGTCACATTGACACAAATAAAAACAGAATAAAGACCTGAACCACACTTTGTCTGAAAGAGCAGTACCTCAGGAATCACTAGCAATAGGATTTCAAATTGCATCAGCCACGTACCTTACCCGTTACCATGCAAAGTAGAATAATACAAGTCAGCAGCTTAGCATAACACCGGGCCCCAAGAAAAAGGCAGGAAATGAATAAGGAATACAATTTCCTTAACAATTCACTTATAGGAATCATTCTGCAAGACATTGCCCATGTCCTGGTGGAACGTGTAGTCTGAGGGTACAGGAAGCACTGGGCTACTTTGCCATGTCTCCTCACTGCCCATTATCCAACTCAGGTTTTGTCCCTTCCGTGAGATGGTGGCAGAAACTCCTTGTGCTGATCACACCATATGGAAATAACCAGAAAAAGCCAGGGACATTACTGCATGGCCAGCACTACCCTGCCTGCTGAGACCAAGGGGACACTAATGCTGTTCAACCTGACTGAATAAGAAATTATTCACCAAAACATTATTTCACAGCTGATGGTAGAAAGCTCCCCTTGTGCAGTACAGCTGCTTACCTCCCCCTCTCATTGGAGGGGTCATGGAAGCCTCAGCTCTCCAGGCAGCATTTAGGGGATGGTGTCTGAAAAGCAGACAAGATGCTTTGGTGCCTGTCTTTCAGCTCCACCAGTGACATTAATCCACTGCTGCTTGTGTTTTGTGTTGGGAGATATTTAGGGTTAAGATAATTCAAGGTTTGAGATGAAAACACTTTTTTTTCCACCAAACCTACCAAAGCAAGCTTCAGGGATTAGAGACATACTGAAATAATGCTTATTTTATTACTGAACCAGATGGGACTATGCCTTTAGATGTGCCTCTTCAAACCCAGCTGCACATCCCACTTCTTCCTTGCTCCCCCTTTATTGCCCTTGCTCTGACCCTGCCACACATCCATCCAGTGTGGAGAGTTACAGCAACCCTCATCTCAGCTTGTCACAGCTGACTTGCTAATGAAAGACATTTTAGCTATGGGACCATTTCACCATGTCATGCCACAGTGCTTTAACCTCTCCCCACCCCAGTTTGTTCCAGGTGAGCTCAGGGATCAGTGGCCAAATAACCTTCAGCTGTAGATCCCCTGCCAAGTAGCAGTTGTCTATGCAAGACCACAGGCATACCCGGTTCTTAGTTTAGAGGCTAAACCCACCAAGAACTCAGATTACATTAGTCAGATAAATGCCAAAAATGCTTTCTAGGATATTTATGATGGGTTTCCTCAGGACACAGGAGGTGCTTCCTTGTACACTTACTGTTTTACAGCCCTCAAATCACGCGTTTCCCGGAAGACGACAGGCAAAGTTCAGCCTTAACAGGGGCAGTGCTGGCTGCAGCCCCTCCCTGCTGCAGCTCCACTTTGCATATATGATTTCACCACTATAAACACTGTTTTACTTTATATAAGCCTTAGCAAATTCTTGTCCTATAGATACTCATGCCCTGCAGCTGTAGGCACAAATAATAAAATAGACAGTGATGAGTAGACCCTATAATGCAAAACTAAATGTCCAATCAGAGTTTGATGAGGAAGTGTGAAATAAAACACATTAAACAGATTAAGAAGGTGGGACAAGAAATCAATTTCCCATTAAATTCAGCGGTTACTTTTTTTCTGACTCTTAATGTTAAAAGCGTCAATTACACGCGTAATTTACTCCTTTACAGTCTGATTCTATGTTCAAAGCAAAAACATGCGTTACATAATATGAATTAGCCCAGCCATCACACAGAAATAAGCAGCACCCTGTAGGTCTCTCCAGGCTGGCTTTAAGTGCTCCACCAATGTAGGCCGGGGGAAATTACCTTATCTGCAGTTTGGGAGAAGGAAGTGATTTTGAAGCAGCGTGCTACTTCACCCAAAGCAAGAGGTAAGCTCAACTGGTGCAGAAAGTATGAAGCTAAACTTGGGAAACACCATGGAGATGTTTAGGATGGAAAGTAAACATATGTCCCCAAAAGATTTGCCTCTATGGATGCGACTGGAGGATGTAAGGTAGGTACAACAAAACGCATCCTTTGCTGAACTTATGTAAGCAGCTAAGCACTGTGAATATAAAAAAAAAAAAAAAAAAGAGTAGAAAAAGCTGCTTGTGGATAATTTCAGGACAAGCAGGCACAAGCATGCTTACTCTTTTATTTCATCTTGTTCACAGCATCTTGTATGTGTATCTTGAAAGTGTGATGTACGTACAGGTATTTTAAGCTAACAAACACACAAAGATACTTCATTTGTAGGGAGCGGTGATCCCTGCCCCATGCTATTGAGCCATACTTGCAGGGCCTTTAAGTTCACTCTGCTTCATTTCTACCCCCAATAGACAGTAAGATGCATCTCCACTGAGCTGCACATGGATTGAACAGTGGTTAACAGCAGCCTATGGTCTATAGACAAAAAGCCTCCTCAGCAGTGCAAGGGAGGGGAGTTTTCTGCTATGAGGTGGGATGATAGGGAGCATGCATAAATCCTGAGATGTACAAAGAAAAGTGTAACACCTGGCAAGAAACGACCCTGCAAACCCGTCTCCCTAAACTGGCAGAAATTTATACACAGAAAAACTGGGAAAAGAAATCAGTTACCTGTTTCATCCTCCTTCATAACTCACAGTGTAAGTACACCTTAAGAAACAAAGACAGAATAGTGCTATGAAAAGATGAGTGATGCATCTAATACTTCAGTAGAACCTCCTTCTGGTGTGTCTAAAGGTGCTGTGGCGGCTTGGTCGTGTTTGTCTGTGTTCTAAACCTTTTGCACTTTGTTCTTAGAGCTAAACACAGACCGTGTTATTTTAGGTTGCAAATCACAGACATCCATAAACACTGGTAAAAAAGCTATATGTGGAGAGAACATTGTGTTCTTTAGTGGGTCTAGGCACCTCTCATCTTAAATCCAAGAGTTTAAAGTCAATTCCAGCTGTCTTGGATTGTCCCTTGCTTTTAAAGAGCCTGTAAGTAAACTGTCAGTTCAGAACCCCTTCACTGTGATCATTAATGGCTGAAATTTGGTGTTAAACCTTGCTCCAGTCTGTAGAGCACTGGCTCAGCTCTAGGGTGCTGGTATCTTGGGTGCTACTTTGTACCCATGTTTATCTTTTTCTGACTGTCTTTTTCAACTGATGAGGGGGGGGAAAAAAGCTCATAGCAGTTAATGTCTTCATTTTACACTAATTTAGCCTGTTCCCTTTTCTACAATAGCTGCAATGCGATGCTGTTTCAGTAAAGCAACGCTTTGCACATTTGGCTCAAGGAGACACTGAGCAAACGGCTTTTCAGAGAGCTTCAACTCAGCTGTCAGAAGGGGCAGTTTGGTTTCTGTGCAAGCAATACTCGCATTCCAAACTGCATTAGAGAAAAGCCGGTGGGTTTGTATGTATTTTTATTATCAGTTCCAGATTAGGAATCTGATGCTGATTTCTTCTTAAAGCCTGTGTTTGCAGGTGAATTTATATTCTAAAACAAAAAAAAGGATGGTGATGTTTTTCTCTCACTAGCTCGCTCTTTTGTTTTTCTTTTTCTTTTTCTTCCCCTGGCTTTACTCCAAGGACCTTTTCTGCTTGTTCATTACATTCTCAAGATGAAGCACCCCATGGTTACAGCAGTGCTGGTAGTACTGGTGCAGGTTTCTCAGAGTTTCCCTGCCTTGTACCACCGAGGTTGGTGGAGGCTGTTACGGGAAGGAGATAGTTGTGGAAAATGTGATTTGGCACTTTGCTCTGAGCCTAAAGACTGTCCAGCCGGGACTGTATTGGACCGTTGTGGCTGCTGTCCTGAATGTGGAAACGTGGAAGGTCAGATCTGCGACTTGGATCAGGGCAATCATTTTTATGGGCAATGTGGGGAGAACCTCGAGTGCAGGCTGGATGCTGATGAAGCAAGGTTTGGGGAAGTCCCCGAGCCCCAGTGTGTATGCAAGTCTCAAGAGAGTATCTGCGGACCCGAAGGTAAAACCTATGAGAACATCTGTCAATTCAACAAGGCTTATGCTATGAAAAGAAATATCAGCATGAAACATAAAGGACCATGTGAATCAGGTAATGTGTACAGATGCACTTCCAAACTGAAAGATCTGATTCTTGTTTTCAGATGTGTTACTAGACACTCTAGTCTAACTTTATTAAACTAATACTGCATTTTTGTTATCATTATTTTGTTACAATGCTACTTTGTGTTAAATGCGTGGTT